CGAAAAATTAATTCAATTAATCGACTCTTCTGGGGTTCTTTTTTTCCCCCTTCTTCCTCGAGAGGAGTCAATTTGCAATGAAAGAATGAATTAGGACACGATGAATATACGGCGGGGCGAAGAGGGAATATTGGATTTTTCTGACAACAAAGAGAAACCTCTTTATAAAGGCTCATTGTTGAGAGGCGTTCGTTTGAGATCACGGTATGTAAGGCAAGGGAAACTACGATGCGAAAGATCAAAATTGAATTGTACAACAAATAATATCAAAGGAGATTCGCAAATTGATATTTCGAGAATTGTCTTTTAAATATATAAATATTTATATATTTATTTTAGATAATATATATTATATATATATATATATGTAACAGTGTATATTATATTTTTGTAATATTTTTGCAAATATAAATAAAATGGCACCTCCCATGATCATTGTATGTATTTAATTTATAATGTTCCAAATAAATTTTAAAAGTAATTATTATTGTTTGTAGAGGTGCATTGATCGTTAAATTTGTTGATAAAATATATTTTGTAGTTAATTTAAAGAAATTTTCTTTTTTATCTACAAATATGTTAATAAGGTAGGAAATACATGTAGTATTTATCGAACGGTGGTAATGTTTTCTTCCGTCGGTAATACTGCATCCGCGCATATTTATCGTTGACTAACTCAGATTACAGACGCAGTATAACTCGTCACAGACGATACGAATATAGGTAAATGTTTGGTCAAACATGAGCAAATAGCATGAGCCAACGTATGGTTAGAAATGAGAAAGTAGCATCAGTCAACATATGGTTCATCAGACATAAGCAAGTAGCATAAATAAATAGATGGTCAGAGATGAACCAGTATTATAGATAAACGTATGATGAGACATGGGCAAGTAGTATAGGTAAATATATGGTCGTAAAAGTTTACGAATTAGTTCGTTTGTTTTTTTTGTTTTTTTTTGTAAATAAAAATTTGGTGGATTGCAATATGTATTAGTTTCAATGTTGCACGCCCATACATCTGTATTTATACATGCCCAAAATTTAATTCGACTCACCAATAATCTGGTTCTATGCCAATGGTTTCTACTTCGTTAATTAACAGCTACTTTGCTCTTTTTAATTCTTTCCTCACTTCATTTAGATCTATTCGTGTTATATCGCTCCAATGATTGTGTTAAATCTACGACAAAGAAATTTATAAAAAGATATAGAAATAAATGTAAAAATGTAAAAAATAAATTCAATATACGAAGTAAGTATAACATTCCCCTCATGCAAAATGACAATCATTGAAAGAAGAGAAATTATCGATGCTTTCTACTAAACTATATAATTTTACGGATCAATATACCTTTAAATCACTGGTTGAAAAAGATTTACGGCATTAGAAGTCATTTTTTTACACAATTTTCACAATTAAAATGCGGATTCAAACAGACGCGGCGGAGTTGAAGACGCAAGAAATACTAACGCCCTCTGCTTCCCCCTTTTCAAATAAAATTTAAATTTAAATGTACATCGAAACATTATCACCACGTAGCGGTGAAAGTATGGAACTAATCGCTACTACTGTCTTTGTCACACACATGCGATATTTCATGCTCAGTTTCTGTCGTTTTCAAACAGATGGCAACACACAGCTTATTTTATAATGATTTTCTGCTTTATTTAAATAAACTTTACAGAGCAATATAAAATTATTTTTAATACTCGCAATTAAGTTAAGTAATTATTCGCGATAAGTTAAATAAGTATTTTGATTACAACTATAAAACTACTATTTCGATCAGTGGCATTGTAATACAATTATTGTGGAATACAGTAGTATGATTTACATTTGGTAACCTATACTTTATTTGCGGTAATTCTCTAAAGTCATTTAGTTCGAACCATTCTTTATTATTCAAATTTCGAACTTATATATTTATGTAATTCCTCAATTTTGAAGAGGGCGCTGTCAACAAATGTCAACTACCTATGCGGTATGAAAAAGAATGGTAGTTTGACATTGGAGACGGTGTGTTAAACGTGGTATCTCGATTCACAATGTCGAAAAATGGATTTTATTTCTTCATGCTCGACTGGGCAAAACAGCGAGAACGTTGTGGTTTATCAGCCCCAAAAGACATGAAAGAACTCTCAGCGGCTTGCAGCGATGACTGGAAGGTAATGTACATAGATTCTATATATCGATACATTCATCAACAAATTGATTCGATAATTTAAGTGGATACGCTATGTTCTTTGAATAAAAAGTAATCGAATTTAATGTGTATTTTCTAATTCGAAAATGTATTCCGTTATTTCAAGCACTTACGTAATACATAGAAGGTGATATTCGAAATAGATGTAAATATTTATACCAGTAGAAAAAATAAGGTCATAAGTACCCGGGCCTATATGATTCTAACGTACACTTTTATAAAATTATGTTTCTCCCATTTTAATCAAGAGAAAAAACGATAATTTCTCGACTTCTCGGAAAACAATTTCCTTATCGTCTTAACACATGCTTTAGGGTGGGTCCGAACGAACACAGGCACCACCATATGTTAATGATAGAATAATTAACAAAGAAATTGACTAAACTATTTCTTTTTTGACACTATATATGAATTAATACTCAGAGGAATATGTTAAATGCATAATTTTCAATAATTTGTTGGTAATTTTATATTATCACAGAATCTCCCACTGCACGAAAAGGGACTTTATAAAGCCAGAGCAAAACATTATAAGAATAAGGCACAAATCAATATGAAAGAGAAGAGAACTACAATTGGAGAGAGCTTGAGCGAACTGGAATTACAAGAAAAGAAAGAACAAGAATTTCAACAAAATATGATTAGGTACATAGAATCTGTTGTCTCGTTAGGTATACTGCATAATAGTAAGTATTCTATATTGAATCTTATGAACTTTTCTTGTTTGAAATATTAGTCAATTGTTTAATGCTTAATATTATCACTTATTACAGACTTGCCAAAGTTAAAATTCTTATTCATACATACAAATTGGTTCTACAGAAGAGATATAGGAATCAACAAATATGACTTTTACCCTGCCGAATTTGCAATTGCAGAATTTAGCCTAGAAAATGGCATTGAAGATGTATATCACGAATTATTAAGAGCAGTTATACCTTTAGGATGGAAAAGAGATGCAATAGAAATTAGCCAAGAAACACATCAAATTCCTATTAATTTAGAAGAAGGAGTACAAGATTTTTCAGTTATGTATGATAAGTTCACCAGATTTTTGGATGCTAGGAAGACTGGAAATAAATATCCCCCATTGTTTACTGTAAAAGACTTGTACCCTGCTGTAGAATCATTGCTAATGAAAATGATTGACGATGGCAGTAAATATAAAGATTTAATTAATAATATAGAAATAAAACAATATTAAAACGATATTATTCTAATTTGTAATTGTATTTTAGGGGGACGTTTGGAGGACTATCTAATTTATTCGATAGAAGCGCTATTCGGAGAAATGAGGAATGCTGCTGTAAAGAAAGTGGGCTCCTGCAGTCTTCCTCTTGTAATTGCTGAGCATCGATTTGCCAAAGATTATTTCTCCAATACACGTGGCTTTGAGTGTGAGGTATATATACAAGAAATATTCCCAATCATTTATAGTATATAGGATGTGTATTAACAATTTGTTTTGCTTTCTATTTAGTTCCATAAAATTATAGATGTTTCTCAGTATTGTAGTAAGTCGATAGTAACACGATGGGGTATGACAATATGCGATTATTGTTGTGAATATTTAGACATAAAAATGATTGAAGGCGTGCATCGTCCATACGACGAGTTCTACGAAGTTAGTAGTCAAAACGAAATTTATGATATCGAGTATCGTACAAAAAATTTAAATATCGATATCAAGAGAGAGCAAACTATTAAAGTGGATGAAGTGAGTAATAAATTTTTAATTTGTATTATATAAAGTGCGTAGATAGTAATTGGTAATTTTATATTCTGACAAGTACAAAATTTTCTCAATATAATTAGGTATCTATGGAGCATAAAAATGAAATATCTCAACGAGGTGATAAAGAATTTAGTCGGTGGAATGCGAATACATTTACAGATAGAGTTGATACTGTTAAACCTAGTACATCTCAAATAAACACCACAACTGTGAGTGCTAACATTAAAGTAATCGCGATTAAATTTCGTTTTGAAATAATAAAAAATTATACAGTTGTTGTCAGGAAATAGTTCTCAATCAGTAATTTTTGATATCCTAAAATAAACTAATTGAAATTAATGCATAAAGTAATTTGAAAATAATCTGTTTTTTTTTGTATTTTTAGTTGAATATGCCAATGCGGCCGTTGCGTGCGCCTAAAACAATGGGTAAGTATACTTTTATACTCTTTACATTGACTGAATAACTGATACTTTATATAATATAACTGATATTTTCAGCTCAAGCTCTCAATGAGACAGATGAAATTATTGATCCATTAAACGAAATCAATTTCCCACCAATTGGTAAAACATTTACTTTTAAAAATTATTCTCTTTTTTCTATTTTAAAATTTTAAAATTTAAAATTTATCTTGTAATACAGTAAGTAAACAAATAACTGAGAATATATTAATAATATTAAGTACAAATTTATTTTTATAGAATATATTTTTATAGAATATATTTTTTATGTTTTAGATTTTTTAATATTATATATTTTAATATAGGTGGACGAGGTATTACAATTCATAGAAAAAGCAATGCACCAATTAAATTGCCTTTGGGAAGAGGTAAAATTTTATAGATTACGTTGAATTTCAATTTATAATTATTTTGAAAATTTTTTAATAGATTTTACTTTTCTGTGCAGGACGTGGAAGATATTAAATAAATAATTTTTGACGCGAAAAAGAATGAACTTTTTCTATGACAACAAATTTACAAACAATATTTAAGATATGTTCTTATAATTAAGACTTACATGATACATGTATGGTTAATTTTACAAGAAAAAAAATAGTATTTTGTTACCAAAATTTATGAAAAAAATATAATATGACTACTATCTTCAATATCTGGTTATGGATTAAAGAAACTGCAAGACTGTTTTACAATTTTTTGTAATTTTAAATCTAATTTTTTTTACATTGTGTACTTTGAACTTATCATTCAGACTATAAATTTTATTTAAAAAAGTTTCTTTAAAATTGTACTCAATATAAATTATATTACACAAATTGAGCAATGAAATAAAAAATTTGGTTTTGAAGTTTTTAGTTAAACCTTTAACGTCCTAATTATCTCAGAAAATATCGTCATGCCAATGAACAAAGTAATACCATAACAAAAAAAACTTTATGTAACAGAATTATTTTCATGTGTTCCCTATAATATTGATGGGAAAGTATTTGACATAATAATACAAGTTGATAAATGTATATTTATCTTTCTTGTAAATATCCTTTTTTTGTTTAATACCTCCATTATATTTCTATAACTTTGTTAATCAACAGAGTACATAGATAAAATATTTCTATATTCTAATTTCATAATTCAAAGATTATGCTTAACTTCTACTACTATTATGTATTCCTAATAACATTGAAATGAAAGTAGTTGATATAATAATAAAAAATGGATAAATGAATGTATCTTCTTTCCTTGTCTAATACTTCTAGTATATAAAAGCTATAAAGAAGGCTAGAAATATTTCTATACTTTTGTTAATATAAAGAGTAAATATAGGAAATAGGGATAATAGATTTCATAATACGAAGAGATCATATGCTTAATTTTCTGTCCTTTTTTCATTTATATATACAATTCTTAGCTAATATACCTTACCATTACTCTGATTTCCTGTTAAGTTTCTATGAAATCTAGTGAGAAATTATAAAATATTTTTATCCTTTTCCACATATTCTTTATCAGTAAAATTTTTCTTATCAAGTTTACAAGTACTAACATACAAAATAAAAATTAAGAAATAATATTTTCACTCATACTTTATTAATAATTTAATATAATTATTATTCGTCATAGAATATTGTGCTACTGTACTGTTAAATTTCAAGTACGATATTCAGTTTACCTCAGTGTACAATGTGTGCACTATATATGTAAACAAAAAAATTAGGCACAGAGAGAATCAACGCGTAATAGCAAATTGAATGACACTTTTGAAATAAAAGATTGTTATACTACATCACGAAACAAACGTCATCAAGCAATTTTCTCTAACACAATCGATGCATTCGGCTTGGCTTAGTAACACACAAGTGCTTTAAAGATGTCGTTAGGTATATCTATCTCAACGTGATCACAGACGAGGTATACCTCATCTGTGACGTGATTGAACTTGCATCGACTTGTTTTAGAGAAGGTTTCTGAATCACTTGGCTTGTCGCATTAGAAATAGATTTAAAATTCCTATATCTGTAGTTTACAAATAATACCAAAAAAGAGTAGTTTTAATGTTAATTAAACACGTAACATTAAATTTATTTTAATACTAAGATGATCACGCTATAAAAAAACATTTATAAAATACGAAATCTGCAAATTTTTGTTTTGCAAAAATTTTTCAATAGTTAATTATTTAATTAATCGATAAACGTTTGTAATTAATCTATTATCTTATCTCGAATTATATTAATTACATTCATAAAACTTATTATTATTATTATTATAAAACTATTATAATTATATACCGCATATTATAAAAATATTTTAACAAATTTTTCATCGCAAAATTTATGAAATTTTCTTGCTAAATGAAAATTTGTGTCACAGTATGTATAATAATAATAGATATATTTACATATTTTGAAATATATTCAGTATTCACTGAAATTTTGTTCAATGTTTGTAATATATATCATTTTCTTGCAAATAAAAATTAATCATATTTCAATCGTAAATTGTAAAAGGCAATTTCAGTTATTTAGTTACGTGTCAATTATTTAATTATTTTTGTATCCATTTTTATTGTCCGCATCTTTTGGTAATTCTGCCGACCGTCGGTAGATGGTAGTGCAACAGCTATTTTGACACTTTCAAACTAAATTTACTTTTAAAATTGCTGCATTTATTAATTTAACAGTCCAATCAATCAGTAACGAAACTTCAGCAATAAAAATACTTCGCCAATTATTCCTCTAGAAAGTTAAAAAATCGCTGACATTAACAACAAATTGGAAAGAAACAGCTTAATTACTGATTGATGTGTTTCCGCATAACTGTTTCCAAGCAGAAAAGAACAGCCATCTTTTCGAAGAGATGATGCAATCGATGACACATACCGACCGTATTACCGATCGTCTTGCAAATCATAAAAATTGTTGACCATGATTTTTGGCAGGACGAATGAAATCGCAAAGCAAAATGTCAAACAAATCAGTTCTGCGTTTGCGACAAAGTCAAAAAACAGTTCCCATCAAACTATAGCCCATCGGATATTAAGCGAAAGCCGCCAGCTGGGAGTGCTATTTTGAACGAAGCGCAACGTTGCCAGATCGCGGGCTGAACAAGTTCAAACACGTGCCTCGTGTTTTGCTCTTGGAAAGAGATAACTGCACACAGTCTGACAAAACAGAATGTTTGCTTTCCATTTTGTTCGCTTTTATTTCCTCATTTATCTCTGCGAAACAACCTGAAAATGTAACAGCAATTTTACACTCTTCAACAACAATACTTCATCTATTTCCAAGTATATCTTACGAACGAGTATGTCACATGTTTACATCATTAAACATGCGAATATTCAAACGACGAGGGAAACTTAAATCTGAGAACAATCAAAATGTTACACGCTCCAGTAAACATTTTACGTATCATTCAACCTTACCCCAGTTTGATTTCCTATAACAAAAATTGTAATAAAATGACGATCGAGGTAATTGTACGTTGCAGTGTACGTTTATGTACGATTCTGGTGTATGATTTTGTGAAGGATTTTCCAAGGCGTGCTCGAGAGTTTATCCACCAGCTGGACAAGAAAGTTCAGGTTCGGCGGAGAAGACGCGGCAACGCAGCAACTGCGTGAGCCGAGATGCGCGGCATGAATAGCATCGCGCACCACGACGTTGATGGGCCGGTCCTGTGTCAGGGGCTGGAGGAGCGAAGGACGCGGTAAAAGTTTCCACGACGGTGGGGATGGACAGGAAACGCTGAAACGAAAGGGGAACGCGATACCGCTCTGCATGTGGTGGTCGTCGGTGAGGGTAATATAACCGAGGTAATGTTACCGAGTTGCTGTTTACGGAAGGTTTTTGGAAATTTCAAAGGAGTACATGTAGCTTTCCCAGCTTGAATTCAAAGCGCGGTCAAATCGAATCGTCCAATCGTGATTATCGAGCGGCCATTATTATCGTTGACCCATACGTCGGGGAAAACATATGCTTCATGAGAATCGAGCTAACGGGAACACTTATCTTGAAAATACGTACGCACGATACATTTTGCAAATTATCGAACGCATCGACAATATATACAATGTTCAGGCATCCGCGTGGAACTCCTTGCGCGCCAATCGATTTGAAACTCTGCCACTTCGATTTTTCTATTTGAGAACAGAAATCAGCTTGAACATTTCACGAAAAAGAGTCGGAGATCAGAATGTAAAATCAGAATGTATATTAAGAATGATTCCATCGATGTTTCCTTCAACTTGAGAAATTTGCCAATAACTGACTCTCAAGAGACGTAGGCACGGTCAAGTTGTAAAATCTGAAATGTTTAATCGTCACTATGCAATAATAGCTTGAAGAGCTACTCCTATTAGGTAGCAGATACTTATATTGCTTTTTCCAAGGTATTTATATAGCTTTTTATAAGTTAACAAGGTGCGTTTATAGGTTAAGAAAGGGATCAAAGTACAAAATGAATTACATCGCTCGAAAACGCTTGGTTTGAAGATTCTCGAGAAACGTCGTGGTATAGTGGTAAGCACATCGGCGACGGTGAAATCGTAGAGGGGACGACCCCTCCTGCCCTACTCCGGTGCGCGCAACGTCATTGTGCTGTGTGGGGCCATGATCGTTGGAGTGTGTGTGCGTCGCTCGAGCTACGCGCAGACCTGCCCAGTAAATACGAGGCTTCCGTTCCCTTGTGCGTGTCGAAAGAGTGCGTAGTAAAAAGGAGGTAGAGTCTCGTCTCGTTGGCATCCCGTATCACCGGCGTGCACCATCATGCCGTTGAGTATTGGGGTTAACCTAAGAGTGACCGGACACTGTAATCAGGGCGGTCGTAAGTACATGGAGGACATGTTCAGCGTGGCCTTTCAGTCGACACCGGATGACAAAGATCTGGAATATGCCTTCTTCGGCATATTCGACGGCCACGGCGGCGGCGAAGCAGCTACTTTCGCCAAGGAACATCTGATGAACGTTATCGTCAAGCAGAAAAATTTCTGGAGCGATCGTGACGAGGATGTACTTCGGGCCATCAAAGACGGATACGTGAATACACACTATGCGATGTGGCGGGAGCTTGGTAAGAAATTCATTTCCGTTGTTTGCCCCCGTTGTTTCTGTCGCCTCGTCCGTTTCCCGCCAAATCTTGCTGCTTCATCGACATATTCATCGAAAAACGTGATGTGCTTGGCATTTTTTATAGAATTTCTCTCATTGTCCCGCGTATTTCCCCCACCACCTGCGCCCGATTAGGTTAGAATTTAGGTTATGTAATCCGAGCTAACCTGAAAGTTCAAACTCGATGAAAAAGTAGTTGAGAGAAAATATTCGATGTCGTTCGTATTTCTGCGGTCGATTTGCCCGTTGTGAAGCAAAGTATCGCAGAGTGTGATTTCCCATGGGGATTCTTCATGAAAATGTACGTTGACGAGGATGTACTTTTGCGACAGATAAGTGGCCGAGAACCGCATCAGGACTACCATCCACGGCTGGGACTACGGCTAGCATAGCGTTTATTCGCAAAGGCAAAATTTACCTGGGTCACGTAGGAGATTCTGGCATAATATTGGGATATCAAGTCGATGGTGATCCTCAGTGGCGTGCTGAAGCTTTAACCAAAGACCATAAGCCAGAAAGTGGCCCTGAAATGATAAGGATACGTGAATCTGGTGGTAAAGTTGTTAGCAAATCTGGGGTCCCAAGAGTTGTATGGAACAGACCTCGCATTGGACACAAAGGGCCTGTTCGAAGATCAACACATATAGATGAAATTCCCTTTCTTGCTGTTGCTAGATCCTTAGGTATATTATTGTTGAAATATCAGTTGAAATATCATAAATAACTAAAGATTAATAAGCTAAAAATTTTCTGTTTCATAGGTGATCTTTGGAGTTACAACTCTGAATTAAACACATTCGTAGTGTCTCCAGAACCAGATGTTAAAGTAGTTGCAATTGACGTTGAATCACATCGTTGTCTTATTTTTGGAACAGATGGCTTGTGGAATATGTTAACACCTCAAGCTGCAGTGTCTATTGTCCAAGCTGCAGATAGACATAATGAAAAGCATCTCATTGCTTCTCAACAAACATGTAATGGGGTATGTTTAAATGAAACTTGAATAAGATATTAAATGTACAAAGATGTTTGTCATTTCTACTTTAAACAGCAAGCTGATAATGTTCAACTATGGATAAATCCTTCGAAAAGTCTTGTGGATAGAGCATTGGAAAAGTGGTCATCAAAGAGATTACGTGCAGATAATACAAGCGTGGTTACGTTGATGTTAGATCCACCAGGTCCATCTCGTAGTGAGGTATATATTATTAAAAAATATATCTTTGAAAATATTTTTAATAACTGTAAGAAAAAGAAATTGAAAGATGTAGAGAAAAATATTGATTAGATTGTTGAACAAATTTATTTTCTTTTGAAAGGTTCTGCTTAGTCAGAAGGAGTGTGTTGTGACCCATCATACTATCCACACACCTACAGCTACACTTTCAGAAGCTCCGGCAAGACATAATTGTAATCCAATCTCTCCGGGTATACCAAGGCCTTCTCCTATAATAAATTATAATGTTGATCTAAGAAGGCCAGATATTCCAGAAGAGATGCAAGAGAATAGAAAAGAATCAGATGTTGAAAACATATGTACACCAATAGAAAAAGTTGAAGAAAATCAATGTCAAAAAAATGAAACGCACACAAGTATTCCAAAAAATTTGATAAATGAAAACATTCAACCTGTAGAATCATCGTCCAATAAAACATTAGAAAAAAATATAGAAGTAAATAGTCCGAAGCCCGAAGCAATTCCAGCGGAAAAAACAGAAATTAACGAGGAACCAAAAACGACAATTAAAGAAAACGATATATTAATTCAACAAAAAAATTCAAGCTCGTCTCGGCAGTCACCGGAGAAAGAAAAGAAAAATGATTCTAACGTTTCAAATGTGATACACCAAAGTGCATTTTCTAGTGAATGTAATGGTACACACTCTTCTATGGCCGTTACTACCACAGAGTGCAATGAGATGGTTCCGGAAAGTACTAACTGTAATGAGAACGAAGTAAAAGCTAATGTATTGAACGGATCGTGTCATAAACAAGCGACATTGTTTTCCACGTCAAGAAAGGATGTTCGAAGCGGGAGAAGGCACAGCCTAACAGCTTATTCGCGAAATACATTGATGGATGCAGGTTCTTTAGAAACGAAGACATATGTAAATTCTAGACTTAAATCGCGTAGTACAAAAGTGACAGGGAACACGATAGAGGAAGGTGTGAGAAATTCAACGAACAAAACGAGCGGTAGTGCTATTGGTATTAAACGAAGACACAGTGCAATATCACAGAATGTAGTTAACACGATCGAGGAGTCATGTATATTACAAGAGCCATGCGTTAAAAGGAGAACGCGCTCAGTGGATCGTCCGAACCCGGTCGACGAGAATGATCCAGCAAATCAAGCCACGAAGGATGCGAGTAGTAGTTTAAGTTGGCCTACCACGGACTCCAATATTGCTCGTTCCACAGCTGGTGCTACCACTGTACCTGTACAAGAAAGACTGTCGTCGTTAAATACCTTCCAAAGAAATTTGGGGAAGAAAGCTACGCCCGTGAAAGCTATTAGGAGACCGTCTATCAAAGGTCTGTTGAAACAGTTGTGGGCTGCTAGTCTCAGTGCAAGAGAATGGGATCAAGGGAGAAACAACCGATCAAATAACTGTAACGAGCGAAGGATAAAACGAACTGTATCTATTATAGGTTCTGCGGATGATACGAATGTTCCGCAACGTTGGCTCAGGTTGGTCTTCATTTCATTTAAACGCTTCTTTTCTCTTTCTTTTTTTTATCATGTCTACTAACAAGTTTATATTTACATAAACTGTTTTTGCAATTTCTCACCTGGCATATTTGTATTTTTTTTTTTTTTTTTTTTTTTTTTTTTACTTCAGGTCAGATACCATTGCGGCGAGACCTGTGAAAACACTACGTTCACGTAATGTAGAGATAACTGGTCACACGATATCTCCACAATTAGTTCATCAGTATGGAATAGTAAAGCAAAGTCGGCTCTCTTTGTCAAATAAAATGAAGCATTCTAGTAATAATGGATTTCTACAATCGAATAGAGTAAGGTCTTCCTCCTTGCCATCTAGTATAAAACAGACGAACAATAGTACTGGGAATGGAGCTTGTTCTACAATTAGCCCTACGAACACGGGATGTAATTCTAGTTCCGGAATGGCCAAGAGAGTGAAATCACCTTACAATCCGAGTGCTAGATCATTAAGCTCGCGATCTCGCATTAAGCGCCTTGGAAAATGAGGTAGGGTAACGTACGTTAATTATATTACTTGTTTTAAACAGGGTATCGTTTCTTACCCTCACCAAATTTTTATTTACTTCGCGTCTTGCTTTTCATCTCTATGGAAAGGTTTGATGGCTAATTGAGAAAAATAAAAAAAAAAGATGCTCTCGTCTCTACTGTTGCATTTTATCTTAAAACTTGAAGATACTATAAGGCAAGCCCTTGTCTCAATTTTCCAAACATCTTGACGGAATTGGGTTTGCATTTTACGGACCAATCAATTACTAAAATAAAAAAAAAAAAAAAAATGAAAAAAATGAAAAAAAGCGGGAAAAAAGGAGGCAAAGAAGAATTATCAACGATTTCCGTTGTTTCCTATTTTAGTGTAGTTCTAACTTCTTCTTTAAACGATTTAGATAATCGCGTATGTGAGGATACTAAGTAGATCAACAATTTTCTTATCAATACACAGTAGTACTACTTTTACTACTTCCACGGCACACTACGGGTGAAAAGTCTATTGTATTTTTCATATTTGCGCAGTTTCACAAATTGGAAGATATTTAGCAATAATATAGATACCGTTCGAATAGTATAACGTGTTTCTTCGTGTTCCGTTTGGGAAAATGAAGAACATAAACCAGAAATTGCATGCGTAATTTTCCAAGATATCTTTCGCTGTTATCCAACACATGTGAGTGTTTTCTTCTTTCATGCAATGATAATGAGTAGTTTTTGAATTTCAGAAATATTATCGGTTTTCGAATACGATTAAAATGTTCCTCTTTCGATAATAGATTGCCATGCTAGTTCATTCTTTTGAGTAGATTTTTTTCATCGGCCAGTCAACTAAAAACATTTATCACTTTCCACTTACTTAAAAAAAAGTCGTAGCACCTTGTAGGATTGAAAAGAAAAATTTATTTGACAATTACTTAACAATGTATGGAAACTTTTTAAAGCGTGTCAAATATCATTTATTTCATTTTTATATGTATTATTTATTATTTAAGATTACAAAGTCAATTGGCACCTAGTACTACCAAAAATTCTGTCAACTGAAATAAAAATTTTCTACAATATAGTATCTGGTAAATTAAAATATTAAAAAGATTGTATATCTATATTCTAAATAATTTTGTGAAGAAAAATTTGAGATTTATTGTATTGGATAGTATTTAAGATTTCCTGGGCATCAAGTCAAAAAACATAGTTTAAGGAAAAGTCAGTTTAAAGTTCCAAATAAATTTTTTCGTCATAATATTTATACAATGTTCAAAATTTAAAAATGCGTAAAGGTTTCCAATTTCTTAAAACCAACAAGATATATACCAGGTTAAAATATTATTCGGATTAATATTAAAAGACTTCTTTCATTATTTTATGCTTTTTAGTATTTGATTAGCTTGTTA